ACAGTATAAATAATTTTGTTTTCTTCAAAGTGAAGAATGACTTCAATCTCTTGTTACCATCATATAACAAATGTAAATACAGTATTTCAAGCATTTAAAAAATTCTCTGCAATAGGATTGTTCGAAGAATCTATAAATCATTTACAAACATTATGGTGCAATTTTTAAAACTATTTAACGTGTTAGCCTATATAGGACATATAAAAATAGGAAAAACACTGTCCTTACCATTAAGGTTTTGGTGACGGTCTAGTCTAGTATATATTTTCTAATCACACTCAACTCTTATATTTTCAGTATAGTGAATATAAATATTTACCAGCAATAGCTAGAAAAATGGTTGGTTTGAGAGCATTCCAGATGAAGGGAATATCAGGAACAGGGGCCAGCAGACAGTGACAGGAGTAGTGGTGAGCAAAATTGTGTTTCTGACTCAAGGAACACAGCCAAAAAGAGTGTGACCAATGTGTGATCCAATAATTGCAGTACATTTTGATAAGTTCCACATTAAAGGCATGTCCATGCAAATAGATTTAGAAAAGGGCTTTACCATATTTGTACACAAACTTTGCATTTTATCTTAACTGCTCTAATTCCTTTCTTTTAATTCAACTTAGAGCTTCTCAACTTTATCACTATTTGGGGCTGAATAACTTTTTGTTTGGATGAGGCGCAGTTCTGCTCATCACTGAATGCTTCCAGCATCACTGGTCTCTACCCACTAAATCCAGTGACACCACCTCCCCTCATCCTCGCAGTTGTGACTACTAAAAATATGGAGTTGCAGAATTGATCACAGTAGAGAACACTGTTTTAACTCCTTGGATTTTTATTCAGTAAGGTTTTCCTTGAGAATCCAGTCATGTAGATAAAATATATAGATTCATCTTGAGAGTAATAGGTGCTCCCCAAGAAGAGAAAACTAAAAGCACATATTGATTATTAAAAGTAATAGAAGGAAAAAAACTAAACTAAATTTGGTCTTGAAAAACATAGAGTCAAATTGAAGTTAATGGTATTTTGAACATCTTTTATTCTTCCGAACTCCTTCTACTATGTCTAAAATAGAACAGAAGTACCTTTTAAGGAGATGATTATATTGAGTCTTACTTTCTTTTCTGAGCTTGACTGCTTAGAAGTTCTATTTTCTCTTTCTTTAAACTAATAAATCTCAGGAAGTTATCTCACATTTCCTCATCTTAGGGGTCACTTTTGGAACTTTTGGCTTAATAAAGCCAAAGGTACTGGCCAAATGAAAGGTCATTCCATACAAAATTGCAGAAAAAATATTAATAAAGACAAAAAATGAGGCACTGATCCCCAAAGCTCACAAATATAATCTCTTAACCAAAATATTTGCCAAATAAATCTTCCCTAGTTTGTAATTTCCCTAATTCTTGTGATTCTCCTTTCAATGCATGAAATGTTTGGACGAACCAGAAGAGAGACAGAAGGAGGATATCAGGATATTAAGCACTGGTGCTGTTCCTCTCACAATATTTCCCTATTTTATCAATACTGCTCACTCTTTTTTGTCTTCTTTCCCCTTTGTTAGGTATTTTATATCTACCTTAAGTTAAGGACACAACACTGAAAAAATATCTTGCAAATAGGGAGATAATTTTTTAAAAAAGGACTCCCTTAAAAATACTTAAATCAGAGTCGCTTCCAAGTTTCTGCCTTGAAATAATCAAAACCAAGATTTGGTGGAGGAATATGATATAGTTCTTAGTAAAAAAGTGTTTGAACTGAGGAAATGGATAGTGTCATGCACATTGTATGCTAATAAATACAAAATATAAATGGGTGCATTTCTAGTGATTTAACTATAAGTATATGCTTGCTTTTTTCTTTTTACTGGCCAACATTTATTTTACATTTATTGATTAGACACACTGCAATTTCCTTGTAATTTTCTCATTGACTTCTCAAGTGAATAGGAATAATCTGGTGTTTTTGACAAAAACTAGGACAATCCAGATACTGCCTCCCCAGGATATGATTCTTAAGCTTAGTGGAATAAAAATTAGGGTAATAAAAGCAGAAAAACAAACAAAGTTTGCTGAGTTATTTCATCTTCAGTTATCTGCAAGAAAATTTTGATCATCTTCGGCTGCCAACCCTCTGGAACTTCCTGGTTATTTTGTGATACAAAAAATGATTCTCTGTACTTCACTCCAATTCAGTGAACCCACTTTTATTCTTCTCAGAGTTATTTTTTGTTCCAGTTAATTACAATCAGATGTTTACAACCAATGAAACCTATCTGACTGAGTTAATGTCAACTTTTATTTTTTCAATAAGAATTAAGATAATTAGCTAGAATAATATCTGGGGGATGGGGGAATGAGAAAGGCTATTGGGGAAACTACCAACAAACAAATGCATTATAGTAGTAATAGATGTACAAAATACAATTTCTATCTTTAAGAACTTTAATAGCTAATAGAAATGAAACAGGTTTATAATTAAATACAGTGAAAAATAGATTGTGAAAAGGTGTTTTACAAAGAGAAACATTTTTACTGTTTTACAGAGTTTCAAAGAAGGGATACCTAACACTTATCTAAAATTTTCAGGGAGAAGGAAAAGAAAAAATAAATTTCAATAGTCTATTTATATTATAGAAAATAAAAATGAATTAATTATATTCTAAAATCTAAGTCACAAACAATAAAAACACCTGTTTCACAGTTTCATATTTATGTTTATTTGTTATGATAAATAATCCCACATAACTAGATATATAGCAAATGCCATAAATTCCAAAATTCATGATGTAGCATGAGTTTATAAATCACATTATAGTTGTTTCTCTTGTGCAAAACATGCAAGATTTTGGTTTTTTAAAATAAATTTAGAAAAATCTAAGCAATGTTTTTGGGTAGATAATGTTTAATCACACAGGCAAGATACCAAGAGACTTGAGTATATGGGCAGGTCAAGAGAAAAATGAAACAAAATATTTAATATGTACTTATTTACTTGCTTATGAAGCTGATATGTAGGATCGGTGACCGACCAGTTATGAAGTTGGGGTTAAGAGGTACAGAAATAAATCATAATACATTTGCAAAATTGTTGTTTATTGCAAATTTTATTACATTGTATATGCTTCCCCCCATTTAATGAAGACGAATTACGTCACTAGTTAATATTTTTGAGACCCCTGTCATATTAAGAGTTCCAAAGAGGAACAGGATTTTTGAATTTATATATTGCTGTATATTAGAAAGTAAGCTATTGGAAAGGTGATATTGTTTAGAATTACTCTTTTTTAAAATATTAGATTTAGAGCTGTTAGCTGTTTTGATTCCAGAGATAAAAAGTGGACTGCTACTAAGACACACATGGGTTTCATTTTTGCATGAACTCCAATTGGTGGTTGCTGACTAGGGTACAAACAAGAGCACATTCACTGTAGGATAGAGAAGCATAATCTGCTATTAGCCCTACTTCCCTGCTGATACCTTTCTCTGTTGACCTAGTATATTTTTCCTCTTGATTGTAGATCTTCAGTTTAAGGAAGGTGGGAAAGATACAAATAAGAGGAAAACTAAATGATTAGCAGCAGGATAGTGTCAAAACCTCGGGGTTAACCATTTTTTTCTTTCTGACCTATCCCTGGGCAAGCAAAAAACAGCCTATTTCTAAGTTCTTACTAAGACAAGGCAAGTTATTCATTCATTTATTCAACAACACAGATGTACTATATAACTGTAATGTGGTTTGTGCTTGTAGGCTAGTGCTAATTAGTTAAAGTTGGAGACAGGGTATTAAGTGCAGTTAAAACACCAAAATGAGGGCATTCTTGATAAATAGCGTGTAGATTGATAGTCATATATTTGTTCATAAACAAAATGCATAGTAAAAGTTAACATTACATTTGATATTTATTTGTATCTATCTTTACAGATGAAAAACCACTAATTTTCAATTTTATTTGATTTACAAGTTATTTTATACATTAAATTCCTTTTAAAAGGTTATTATTGGACTAGTGACAAGTGTAACAGTGTCAGTAAAGGTGTAATTATTTTAGGAAAGTTCTAGCATGTGATAATAACATGCATTCTTTATGGTTTATTTATTGTGATTTAAATGGCAAAGTGCAGCATTTGAGTTGTATGATAATAGTACAGCTACAGTTTTTCAATAATGTTACACTCTAACATTGATAGTCAGCAATGCATGATAAAAATTTTTTGCCAAAGTCATTGTTACTTTTAGTCTCAACATCAAAATGTTATAGTACACTTTTTTTTTTTTTTGAGTTGGAGTCACTGTCACCCAGACTGGAGTGCAGTGGCCGCCGCTCCCAGCCACCGCAGCCTCGACCTGCTGGGCTCCGGCCATCCTTCCACTCAGCCTTCCAAGTAGCTGGAACTATAGGCGTGCGCTACCACGCCCGGCTAATTTTTTAAAAATTTATTGTAGAGATGAGGTCTTTCCAAGTTGCCCAGGCGGATCTCGAACCCACAGGCTCAGGCAGTCCACTCACCTCAGCCTCCCAAGGCACAGGATTACAGACTGGGCCACCAAGCCCAGCACTATAGTACACTTTGAAGTTAAAGAAATATCATCGCTGAGTTTATACTTAAAAGTAAAAATACATATATTATTTTATTTTATAAGGAGTTTATATGTTTATGTCACTTTGATGTTAACTGATAATGTGTGTGAAGTGTTTGTGAACATGAACTGCTGTTTTTTTCATTAAAATTAGCAGAACACAAAATGTTAGTGCCAAATTAAATTAAGCGAAATGACTTACCACAACAATATCATTAAAAGAAATAGCGGCAATTTAACATTATTACACCAGAAGCATTATTACAATGTCTTCTGACTTTTGGTAATTGAGCATGCCATCTAGGAATGACTTTCTGATTTAAGTTTTCTTCTTTGTTTCAAAAAGTACAATAAGTATTTACTTCAGTGCATTTTTTTCCCTGATGAATAACCACCAATAAAACATGGTATTATTTCTTGTCTTCCAGGTAATACAGCTAAAGTATACATTGAAATACAGGATGAAAATGATCATCCCCCCGTGTTTCAGAAGAAATTCTACATTGGCGGTGTATCTGAAGATGCTAGAATGTTTGCCTCTGTGTTAAGAGTGAAGGTATGAGAAAATTTGTTAAGATACAGATCTAAAGTCAAAGCGAAGATCTCAGGTTTTGCCAATAAATTTTAACACTGTAGTTTGCATTAACTGCATATTTATTCATGTTGTATAAGCAAAAACCTACATGTTGGAAATATATGAGTTTAATTATCCAAACTAAATGCAGCTTATATATGAGGTGAACCCTAAGCAACATTTTAAAATGTTTTATTTATACTATAAAAATAGGAACAAATACTTAATATATTTTACGTTGAATAAGGTGTTAATGTGCATATGTTTTCCCACTAGGCTTTTATAACTCCAATAATTTAATTCAGAATAACTAAAAAGAGTTTCAAAATGAAATTTTGACAAGTATAAAAATACTAGTCCTAATAGAAGAAGTAATGTAATAAATTATGGAATAATATTTTTCTGCAATAAGTTTTTTATTTTATTTTAAATGCTGGTTAAATAAATGTAAAAAGTAACAGTACTAGTTTTAGTATTTTATGAAGACTTAGGGAAAACTAGATATATCAGAAAATTTTGGCTAACCTGCTTAGAATTTTTTAAAATGCAGTAGCTAAGACTAAAGTTGATCATTTTTATTTTTCTTTAATTAGCTATTATCAAATATGTTTAAAAATATTTAAAAATGATTTGCACTATAAATAGTTGCAATAGTTTTATTACTAAAAATCAAATTTAAAAATATTACATTTTGCTGAGATTTAGAAGCTAGAACATTTTGGATTCGCAATTACAGAGTTATTTTTTGGATGGTAATTTAACAATCAACTTTTAAAATAACTATAAATATACACATATAAAATCCTACACATGCCTGGAAAATCTAGCTTTTGATTGCCTGTAGCTTTGATTAATTACCTTTACTATATTATTAGAAGTACCATGATTAGAGTTCTTTTTACATGTAGTTTTATCACATATGAAACATTATCAATAAAAAAAAGAAATTTCAACCTAAACAAAAGAAAACATGGATTTCGTGGGTTTTTAGGTGAGTAACATTTGGGGATTCTTTATCAATCTCTCAAAGCTAGAGAAATCTTGGAGGCCGGCATGACTAAAAAAGTCTGGTTGGAGAAGATTGGAAACGGCTCGAATTTGGGATTTGTTATATGAGTGTTGGAAAGAAAGCCTTTGAATGAGTTTAAACAAAGGAATGACAATCAAATATAAGAGTTTTATTCTAGATGTTGTGCAGGGTCGAAGTTAGGAGTGTTTTTGGACAAGAGTAAACGCAGAGTCTAATGCATGACTAGTTCATGGTGACTTGAACCCTTGGGTAATGGAGTGAGATTCCAAATCCAAAAAAAAAAAAAGTAGAGACAATAGGATTTGCTGATGAATTTCATGTGGGACATTAGGGAAAATCAAGAATGACTTGGAGATTTTTGTTCTGAATAGATTCCCATACATACCCAAGTACTCTAATGGCAGAAATCAAAAATTTATTTGTGGATATTTCATGTTTGTGAGATATTTTTCTATATCTAAGCATGATTCTTGGTAAGGCAGTTGCAGATGCCGATCCAAACTTGAGAGAGAAATTATAGGACAAGGTGAAATCGCCTTGATCATGGGTTCTCAGAAAAGTCCGAAGACTGTCCTGGGAACTTCAACATTTAGCAATCAGGAAGAGAAGGGGATACTGAGAAGGAGTCAGAGTTGCTGCCATAGGAAGCAGAAATACTGAGGAAATACAGGTTACCTGTGCCATGTGAAAAAGATTGACGAAAGGGAGTGTTTGACTGTCAAGTGCAACTGTGATTAAAATGTCCCTGTGGATTTTACATCACCACTTATGCTAATAGGCTTGCATTGGATTTTAAAAAAGACAAATGTTAAAATATTTCAGTAATAAAAGGGATTATTCAAAAGGTATGTAGATGGCTAGAGCAAAGAAATTTCTTGAGTGGTATTATCTGATGGCATTTACTTCAAAGGTGTTGGAACTGGGTGTCACAGGAGACAAAAGGATGCTTGTCCTATACCTCCAGACTCTGTCCTGTGTAATGTATGGGAGCCACTACTGAGAGAGAAAGCAGTTTCTTCTCTATCTGAGGGGTGTAGGGAAGGGAAAGGAATAAAAAGTAAAGGTACTATTAAGAAAAAAGTTGAATATTTAGGAGATTTTACTGTTGATGAGCTATGAATTCTGGGGCAAAGTGAAGTAAAGGTCAGGTAAGAAACTGAATTATGATAGGATGTGAAAAGAACTACATAAGAAGTACCTGGGTGGTGAGATATAACCTGCAGAGAAGACATGGACTGCTTGTGATGAGGTATGAAGGGAGGGAGTTAATTCTTTCTTCAGGATTACTGAGTACTCTGTGGAACCCTCCCCCTTAAATCTATCAGTGGGTTGTTCAGACTAGGGAAAGGGGCTCTGTCTAGGAAGTCAACTTCATGCAATATAATATCTTGGACACTTAGAGAGCGAGAGTGAGAGAGAGAGAGAGAGAGAGAGAGGAAGTTTAACAATGATGAAACAAGTTATGCTGTAATAATCAATTCAACAAGAGAGAAAATTATGGATTCAAATGAAGGAAACATTTCAGCGGCTGAAAGAACGTACAAGGATTCCTGAAAGATGAAGAATTTAAGAAGGACCCTGAAGAATGGTTAGACTTTTTCAAAGTGAAACTTATACGAGGAAGACAATCTAAGTAGAGGAAACAAAGTGAACTAGTACGTGGGAGAAACAAAGTGCAGAGGATATTTGTGGAACAGTGATAAGAGACAGGGGTCTTAGGAGGTAATGGGAGTAATAAATCCTCAGCGGTTAACATTTTCAATTGCTGCCTTGAGCGTGGAAGCCTCATCTCCTTTCCAGAATTTAATCAGAGTGAGAGTGAGTTAAGCAGTTCTTTTCAATTTATACTTAGAAGAATAAAACTATTAATGAAAGTAGCACTAAATCATGGTCCTTGAAGGAAAGATGATGTAAAAAATGGGGAAGGATCCCATGATTGTGAGAGGTTTTTATACAATTGCCGTACGTTAGGATAATGTTACTTTTTATCTACCATGCATGTAAGGTTTTTTTTTAGTCTACCATGCAATGAAGAATGATAAAAGTTAAATTTCAAGTATTAGCTTCATTTAAGAAAGGAAAGAGGAAATATTGCATAGAATAGGGACATAGAAAGACTAGACTTTAAAATACAGTGAAGAAAGCTAAACTAGCTTAAATATGAATTATAAATTTAGGCATGAAAAATATGCTATAGGCAAGGTAACAAATTTAGAGCATTGTTGAAATAAAATGTTCTTAATATAAGTGATAGCATAATAAAGACAATTGCATATCTGCTCTAAAGTGGCATATCTAATGTACTTAAGGACTTGTTACAAGTTCATTTTTTAAGAAAATATTTACTTTGTTTCTATTGCACGTTGAAAATACCATGGCCAGCAAAATAAACTATCTTTCTACACTTTTTTGAGTTAGAGTCTCACTCTGTCACCCAGGCTGGAGTGCAGAGGCACACTCATGGTCACTGCAGCCTCGACCTGCTGGACTCAGGCAATCCTTCTGCCTCAGCCTTCCGAGTAACTGGAATTACAGGCTATCTTTTTACTTTTAAAGAGGTAATATTCTTGTAAGCTAGACTCCCCCCAAAATAGTATATAAATAAACATGTAAGTTATAGTTAAGTCTGTATGGACAAAATGCCTAATATAGTTTCAGGTCAGGTTTAGTCTATACTGAGTGGAAATTAATATAATTGTCTAAAATTTAGATGAAGGCAGGTTTCAAATTACTTTATATATAACATGGGGATAATTTAGGTGAAGTGTCTCTGGCTTTTAGGGTCTCATACTGTTTGATCGTGGTAGACACCATTAGGTGACATTTTCTCCTTTCTCATACATAAGTTCAGTTTTATTCAGGTATCTATTATTATTGGGGATCACATGCTTTAGAGGAGGTAAAACCTCCTCAAAGGTGGTGAGAAATGATGGGCCTGGAGCCCGAGCCTTTCATTCTTGTCATGTTTTCCTTGCAAATGCTTGGCTTGGACATGGATTCATGTGATTCATTTTTGAGCAGTTTTTGATAAGGTAAATCTCTTGAGAATTTTCTAGAACAAAGACGTCATAAAATTTTATTTTAGATTTTTGGGGCAGGAGTAGGGACTTACTACATAAGTAGGAGCATGCAGGTGAAATTTGCTTTTAACTGGTCCTCTTCTCCCCTTGATAGTGGACCAGGTACCCAATGTGTTGCCACTTGTCCCTCTCCCTTCTCCCCTAGTGGTGTCCAACATCTGTTGATCCCATCATTAGAAAAGACGTGTAGAATTTGATTTTTACCATAATAAATTGAATGCTCATGTCACATTCAAGTAACTCTAGAACTGTATCAAAAGGACACAGAACAAAATGATTACTCTGGGAAGATCTACATTTACTATGGTTTATTGCTGATATCTATGTCACAACTGATTCCACCATGTTGATTTCTTCTGATGATGAGTAATCAGCCAGCATACTTGCAAGGAGTGTGGGAAGAAAATCCAATAGAAATTTTACTCTTCAGCCTTTAATCCAACCAGTTAACATCCACTAAAAATATCACCCTTGGTATATACTTAAAATAGTTTAAAAACACTCACTTGAACAGGTATTTGTATACCTATGTCCATAGCAATGTTATGTGCTGTAGTTAAAAAGTAGAAACAACACATAAATCCACCTATAGATAAATGGATAAGCAAAATGTATTTACACATACCACGAAATATTATTTAGCTCTAAAAGTAAGGAAATTTTGACACGTTGCAGCATGTGCGAACATTAATGACATTATAGTTAGTGAAATAACCCAGCCACAGATGGACAGATATTGTATCATTCCACTTATATGAGGTACCTGGGTAATCAAATTCATAGAGGCATAAAGTAGAATGGTGATTGCTGGAGGGTATGGAGTGGGAGAAGGAAAACAGGGAGTGATTATTTAATGAATATGGAGTTGTAGT